GCCTCATCCAGGTCTTTTTGGGAACCAAAACTCAGGACTGCAAAGCATTTTCTTTGATATGACATTCTTCTTGGTATGTAGCATGTCATGGCTTTGACTTGTTTACAGATAAGTCTGAGATCGAAGGCAGTTGTATTTGGTGGTAGATTGGTTAGTTTGACTGTGGTTTGTCCGAGTTCTTTCATTTGTTCTACATTCCATTGCGCATCGAAGACTCTGACTGAGTGTTAAAATAGTGACATTGCTAATTGCTTCATATTTGTAAAAGGATTGTTACACTTTAATGAACTTGGTATCGAGGGGGATATCCCATACTCTGACACACATTTCCTTTTTTAGAATAGAATTTGTGAACTCTATGATTTCTATGTGTAGATTGTTTGTTTCAGGCATAATTGCGTTGCATATCTCGATCGCTACTTATTTGTTACTGAGAATAGCAATGATGTGTTCATTTTCACTGCTTCCTTCACTACGGATAGTGAGAAGTCCTTCAGGAAAATTGAGGGCTTTAGTAAGATAGGTTATTTTTTGTGTTGTTGTTCTGCCTGGGAGTTCAGATGCCAGGATACCAATTTTAACTCTTTCTCTTTCATATCTTTGTGTTCTATCGAATGGAGAGAGGGTTTTGGTTTGGTGGTCTGTTTGTATTCCTTCTGTTTGCCTTTGGAGTTTGGTGTTCTGTAGGAAGAAGTTGTGGGTGTTGCTGAGTATTCATCTTCTTCCATGTCGATGTCTGAGTTGTAAGCGTATTTCTCTTCTTCTTGATTTTGGATTTGTTTATCTTGATTAGTGTTATTTTTGCTCACGTGATTGCCCAAGTCTTTTTCGACTTTTTCACTCCAGTTTGCAATGTTTGTCTCCTTTCTTGCTGTTGAACTGCTTGTCGGAGTATCAATTGTGTTGTTGTCTATCTGTGTGTACCTATTGGGAGAGTTGGGAGCTGATATGGACTAGTTTTCTTCAGTTAGTGTTTGATTTTGGGTAGTTTTCTTTGGAGGCTTCAGAGTTGTTTCTTTGCGTAACTTGTTGGTGTTACCTCTTGCGAGGGCATTCTCATTGTAGTTTGGCCTCCATTGGACTGTTTTGTTGTGAACTTCCCTTTGGGAAGACATCTCTTCGTTCACTTTTTCTTTTCTTTGCAAAATTACCATAAAAGGAAATTTTTTAGAAAAAAAGGATCTGCGGGAAAGAGTTTTTTTTGGCCATTATAAATTATTAGGTTTTATATATAAATAGATATAGGATACATTAATATACAAGTCATTAGTATTTTTAGAAAGAGTTTATCCAATTATGGTAAAGGTTATAAGATATTTCACCTAGTTTTAAGAGATATAATACTTATCTCTAGTTACTAAATAGGTTTCTTCTAGCTTTGTTAAATAAGTAAAATTTTAAAAATAGGATATTGGTTTTTTTTAATCATCTTTGGCTCAACTTTTAGGACACAAATAATGGAGTATATAAATATTACTCTTTATTGCATTGTTCTTAAACAATAAAGATTATAAAAAATGATTTGTGGATTGGCCTACTGGTATAATTACATTTGATATTATCCTCAACTCTTATTATTTTTAATAAGATTGAATCACTTTTCTTCTCCACACTTTTTGAGAAAGTGACTTGGTAGTTTATTCTAAAGACTCTTTTCTTTTTACTGAACATTAGTATCTTACTTCTCTATATAATTTGCAATAATGTTTTGGGAGCTTCCATAAGGAAGCAAAAGTCAGTTATCAAAGGTAATAGCTGAGATTTCTACATTTTTAAAGAACCTAGGTAAAGTCATCTGGAATACAACTAATATTGTGCACAAATTATTGATGGATCTGAAATATGATCAAACATGCACTGATGTTTCCACTATTATATATAAATGGATATTTAGCATTGCCTAAGGAGTTTTAATAAGTATCTTGAATAAAAAATTTTTTTTCCTGTAAAAGTCATATAGTAAGGAATTGTATATATGGAATAACTATCCCATCCATTCATTTTATTTCAACCTCCTTTCTTCTTTCCTTAAATTTTTTTATCATAAGTGTTCTTTCACTAGTTCTCACTTTAGAGACAGCAACATGCCCAAGGATGGCTCTAATGGTCATATTGTTTAGCTTTATAGGTTTAAATTATATTTTAAACATGTACTTTATTTATATTTAAAAACTATATATAATAAAGTAAAGGCCAAGCTGGCATTAAAAAAAATATTATCAATAAATCAAAATTAAATATTTGCAAATATTTTTTAAAAAAAAATATAAAAATATTTTACATTTAAATATTATTCAATTTATCACCTTGATATTTATTATTTTATAATGTACAAATAGTAGTTTGTTTTTAATTTAATTTATATTTAGATATTTTTAATAGCACAATAATTCTGTTAGAAAAAAATTACTTCCAAATGTTGAGTAATTATAGAATGTTTTCTCGTTTGCAAAACTCTTTCGCTTTTGCATAACCTTGATCTGCGGCTTTTTTTAAATATTCTGATCCCCGGATTTTGTCTCTTGGAATAATATAACCGTTATATAAGTTTATACCATAATTAAGCATGGCAGTAAGATTACCATTACTCGCTGATTTCTCATAGTATTTAATAGCACTCAAACAATTCCGTTCAACACCCTTCCCGTACCAAAGACAATCAGCATAATATAATTGAGCACAAGACGCATGTTCATCGTTTCCATCTGCTATCTCGTTAAAATAAGCCGCAGCAATGTCTAAATTTCCATTACTTTCTTTATAAATGTGATACCCAGCCCAGTACTTTGCAGCAGGAATTCCCATTTCAGCATATTTTTTAAAACTTTCAAAGGCCTTTATTTTGTCACCACCTACTTTTTTATATTCCTCAATCGCATCTTCCAGGCCCAAGTAATCATCTAGATGAGAAGGCTCGAGCGCTAAATCATCGTCATAATTAGTTGGAAGCAAAATTTTCGGGACAGTGAGTCGATCGGATTTGTATTTTTCATATATTTTTTCTAATGTACGTTTGATAGCTGGCATATTAATTTTTTGAGCACGTTTTCTTGCGGATTCACGTGTTGCTAAAATGTATTATAATGAATCACATTAGTCAATTATAATATCGAGTAATTTTAATCTAGCAATTACTTGCCTTCCTTGACTAAACGTTTCCATTCAAAGGGCACCTGTCTATTTTGAAATTCAAAATTTTCTGAATTTTTGTACGGAATCTTCTCTTCGGAAATTTCCCACAAGAGAACACCAAAACTAAAATATTTGTTTTTTATTGATATATAATTATAATTATATCATTTGAAATTTAGCATAAAATAACAATTACCTATATATTTCGCAGTTCTTGTCATAAACATAATCATTAGAATTTAATTTTTCCGGAGCAGTGTAGTAACCATTATCAACGGTTTCGCGTATATTTTTTGTCATTACGTCGCTAATTTCTTTGCTTAATCCAAAGTTCGCTATTTTTGCCTTGTGATATTCAGTGATCAGTATATTCTCGGATCGAACGTCATGGTGCAAAATTCCACATGCATATAAAAATATTAGCCCACGACAAATATCAAAACCGAATTCTGTTTTCCTTGTCCAACTTAAAGGCCCATGGCTTTCGTAGTATTTACGTAAATTTCCATGATGAGCCCATTCTGTCACAATGTAGATTGTTGAACTTGTTTTAACGGAACCATAAAATTCAATAATATAAGGGCTTTTCTCTAATTGCTTTAAAACAATGAGTTCTGTTAAATATTTTAATGTGTCATCCTTGCTACGCTTAATGCTGAATTCTTTGAAAGCTACAAATCGATTTTCTGAATGGTTTAATCTCTTTTCAACAAGATTCGTTGAGCCTTCTAATGGATCACCAAAATCGGCAAGGTCTAAAGGTTCATCGTCTAAATTATCAAGTTCAATTGTCGGAGGTGGATTAATCATGATTTTTTGTTTTCGCTGACTATTTAAGGTTTTGAAATTTCTGGGTCCATCCAATATTGTTGTTCCATCTTTGTCGGTTATACCATGATTTTTTGACAAAAACTTTGAAAATAAGGAATCGGGTCACTATTAAACAAGATAAAAATAATTTAATGCAAGTATTGTTATTTACTCACGCTTTTGGTTTTCAACAAATCCTTTTCTATTCTTTCAGGATCTACATTATCTTCTTGTATGATCTCCAAGTCCAATTTTTTTGCATTTATGCTAAAATTTGAAAGCAACTGGAAAAATCTTTCGTTTATTTTATCGAGCGATGAAAAATTTATCACCCCATCGGTCTGTGATATTTCCTTTGAAAAAATTGTAATTTCATTAACAGACATCTTAAGATCCAGAAACAATGGATACGTGTCATCATTGGCCAAAAAAATTTCAAAATCATCATCATTCTGTTTAGCTTGCACTTTTTTGCTGTATCGGTACGCAACTTCCACTCTATCTAATAATATGCCACATAGGTATTTAAAATGCTCGGCGCTTTTATAAGTTTTTGTAAGCTCCGCATGGAATTTTTGAATGTCGCTAATTAAATCGACATATACCGTGTAAGGGCGGAAGTAAAGTTCGCTAGCCATTACTGTTGCCGCTCTTGTTCGGCTAATTAAAGCGGGCTCCGATATTAATTTATTATTGCTTTCCGGTTTAAATTTTTTGATAATATTCTTGATAACACTACTCATTGTTTTCCGTTTTTTTAGGTAATAAGTAAGGGCAGGGAGAACTTAGCGGCGCAATGTAATACATGCAAGTACGTTTGACCTTTTTATAGGTTAAAGACGTCATATACGTAACAGGCACAAAAATTTGTGCACGTGACATTATTTGAATAAGCTTTAATATGGTAAGATCATTGCAATGTTTCACAAATACGTACGATGAAAAATTATTAGCTAAATTATAGTTCCAAATTCCGGAACTTAACCATGGAATCTGTTTTATCTTTTTTATGCGTGTGTCGGAATAGAAGGAAAGAAGAGCCCGAAATTCACGAAAATCGCATTGCGAATCTTGGATCTATTGCATCTCATGGAATTTATATCGAACCTTGGGAGCAAGAAACTTCACATCAAGTAAATAATAACAGATTTAATGAACAACATTTTGAGACCGTTAACATGTTTCGAGACTGTGAAGAAGAAAAGTCTAGCAGATTTTGGTGCAATACCTGTGCAAGGAAATATTTTAGCAAGGGGTTTTCTGACTGGACTAGTGGGAGCGCGGAAATTGATACTATAATACGAGAATCGCAACTCAATTCACGAAACGTTAGTCAAGTGATTGAGTGGATTCCATATAAAAAGTTAAAAGGTCTTAAGCCCATAGGAGAAGGCGGCTTTAGCGTAGTATATTCGACAATTTGGTCGGATGGACCTCTTGATTATTGGGATGAAAAAGTTGAAGAATTATCAAGAAGAAAAAACTACAGAGTAGCATTAAAAAGGTTAAAGATTACTTCCGATAGTCGACAAATGTTGAACGAGGTATATATATCTACATTAAGTATTTATCTTATATGCATACTAATAATTACTAAATTTATACAGGTAACGATGCTTCAACATTGTAAAGGTCTACCACATATTATAAGGTTTTTTGGGATATCTAGGGACTTGGGGACCAAAGATTACTTGATTGTCCAAGATTACGCGATTAATGGAGATTTAAAAAATTTTTTAAAAAAAATAAATTTCAAATTAAATTGGCCCATGATATTCTTAATAATGGAACATATATCAAGAGGACTAGCTAATTTACATGGATCAAATTTAGTGCATCGAGATTTACACCCCGGAAATATATTAGTAAAATCTGATCAGGTGTGTATAGGAGATTTAGGAAGGTGTGCTTCATCCGAAAGTGCAGTAGTAGAGCAATACGGAATAGTCCAGTATATGGCACCGGAGGTTTTAAGAGGAAAAGGTCAAAAGTACACTTGGGCCAGTGATATATATAGTTTAGGAATAATGATGTACGAAATTGTTACAGGGAGAACTCCATTTCCACAGAAGCTGCATGACGCAAAACTTATAGCTCAAATTTGTAGTGGGCTTCGTCCTGAATTTGATAGAAGTACACCTAATCTATTAGTTCGACTAATTAAACGTTGCTGGGATGCCGATCCGTTGAAACGCCCGACGGCAAATGAAGTAGTGGAAAGGATTGTTTCATTGAATGCCTCTAAACTACTTAATCTTTCATCGGAATCTGAAAAACTCTTTAGCGTGGCAAAAATTTTTCCCGAGATATTAGAAACTAATCGTGATCGTAAAGAAATGATGAATTCCGAATATCCTTCTCTTCCATCAAGAATAACATCCCGTAAATCGAATATTTCGAGCCCAATATATTCTGGAGAATTATTTTCTTCTGAAATTGAATGTATGTTCATTCCCGTTAACGTAAATTTTATTCATTTAAATTTCGATAATATTAACGTTATTCTATTAGCTTATAACTCTGACGAATTGTATCCAAGTATGAATTTTTTTTATTACTTCTGACTAATTGGCATATTGATATATTAACATTTAATATATTTTTTCAGATAGGGCAAGATTTAGAAATGGAAGTGCATAAATTGAAGTTTCATCACCGACAATTACAGTATATATAGTAATTTATTATTACTCAAATCGGATTTATTAGTATGAATAGTCCTTATGTATTTGATTATAATATGACCTTTAATATTAATAACGCTAACCTAATTAATTCTGTTATTCATTAATGCTTATTCTAACAATGCGTAAGTGCTATTAATATATCAATACGTTTTATCAATTATTTTTAAAATTAGATAGCTGTAATTACCTTTTTGAATTAGTTAAGCTGGATAAGGTTAGGTATCCTAAGATAATTTTCACATGTTAGCATTTATAACGTATCTACATTCTATTCAATCGAATAAATATTACCTTGTGAAGTAAAATCCGAGTTCGAAAGTTCATCTATATTAATAAATTTCGGTCAATAGAACATTTGATTCTTTTGTTACTAGATGAAAAAATATAATACCTCCTCTTTGACTTGTAGACGTCGATCCGTGACTAACTGATATTAAGATTAACGAATGTAAAATAAGTAAATAGGCATTTCCATATAACCGCGATATCACGTATAGAATTAAGATTAGTCCATGTTAATAGGATAACCATAATTCTTTCACAATATCACGACATAATTAGAAAGTGGAAAGACTGCTGTGATTAATTTTCTATAAAAACTTTCTACATACTTCCGAGTTCAACATTACTATTACTTTCGGTATTGAATTCTTCTTTTAGCGCGTCACAAATGTATTCTGCATTTGGACGATTTTCGGGGTCTATTTCCCAGCATTTATTCATTAAATCTTTTAAAGATCTTGATACGTCTTTAGGAATCTCTGGCTTAATTCCTCTGGCAAGTTCGAATTGAAGAAAGAAATCATTTTTACGCTCATGAAATGGGAGTCTCCCTGTGATAACTTCGAAAATAATCCTTCCAAGCCCAAATATGTCCGCTTCCTTGGAGCTTTTTTTATCGTTTATGACTTCGGGAGCCATATATAAGCGTACGCCGTAAACTTTGTCAGGTTTTTCATATGAAAGATCAGAAAATATACTGCACCCAAAATCGCAAATATAAGGCATATCTCCATTAATCAAAACGTTTCTTGTGTGAAGATCTCGGTGAATTATGTTCATATCATGCATCTTCTTAAGACTTGTTGCAATTTTATATAAAATTGATAATTTTTCTTTTATCTTTAAGCTTTGATTATCTTTCATATACTTTTGCAAACTTCCAGATGACGCATATTTCATAATTATAATATATTCATTTAATTCAGGGTCTTTGGAGATTCCATAACAAGTAATCACATTTTCCAGGACATTGCATGCTGCATGGACCGAAATCTGGAGTTTTTATGCAATAATTTAATGTGTTGTTTTAAAATACCAAAATAATTATATATGAAAAGAAAAATCACCTCGTTTTTCAATCTTTCGAACACTTTCGGCCTGTGACAATCTCTTATCTTTTTCAAAGCTACTTTGCAGTTACCTTCCCGATTCCATTTCATATTATTTTCATACTTGATTATTGGCCCATTTTTCCAGGTAGCTAAATATATTACCGCATGTGCTCCATTATCGATTTCTTCAATGCTTTCCAAGTTGTTATATGGAATCCATTCAACCACTTGCTGATGGTTTCTTGCTGTAAGCTGAAGGTTACGGATTATATCATTGAGTTCTTTATTTCCGCTATCCCAATATTCAAACAAATCTCTAAAATTTTTAGACTCGCAACTCTGGCACCACGAATATCCGGTAAGTTGATTCGGACAAATTTTGCAATTTCCAAACGTATTTGTCTGGTTTAATTGGTGAATATTTTTATCTAGCGTTTTTTTTTTTTTAATTGAAATGAGCTTTAACATTTTATTTTAAGAGACCCAGATATGTAAACTTTTTAATATCAATTTTGTATAAAAATATTTCATCGCAAATACTGGTCAGAGGTTATCTGTATATGTCGGGATAAAGACTTTATATTTTTGGAAAGTCATGTCATAATAAAGCTTAAAGAGTACATGTATAACTACGTACAAAAATACATTTTTGGATTTGATCAATGATTAGGGCTTTTTGTGCTCATAAAACTTTTTGGCGGTACATATTTGTAATTTTACGACTGATAATGCAAAATTTTATTGGTACGTAATTGAATAAAAGATAGGCATTTAAAAATTATTATATATATTATATAGTTATTGCTAATTGTTGACGACATAGTCTTTATCATTTTAGAAAAAAATTTTAATATACTGTATGTACCATCTAATAATTATTTTATAATTTATAGTTATGGATCAAACCTTCAAAAAAAAAATTTTTTTTTTTTATAATCTTTTTTTAATTATTAATAAAATCAAATATTAATCAATTATTTGTTTTTTTTGAAATATATATATATATATATACTGTATATATGGTAGCCTACAAAAGCCTTACTTAAAAATGATAATCTATAAAATATGCATTTTTTGTTTTTAATTACATTCTTGATTTTTTAAAAATAAAATCTATTATAAACAAAATTATCAGGTTATTTTAGAAACATAGAATAAGCCAGATTCAGATTTTATTACAAAGGTAAAAATTAGATTATAATATTCTATTTACAAAAGTATTAGAAGCTAAAGTATCCTATTTATAAAGATGCAAATAAATAAAAGAATAAATATTTATATATGAATATAAATAAAATATTTTATTATATATGCGATTCATACTATATGCATAGCTTACAATTGTTTAATAAAGCACACATAACTAGCCTGACAGAGTGTTTAAAAAAAAATATTTTATTATATATGCAAATTAACTATAAAATATTTATTTAAGATCATAGAAGTTATTAAAATTTTTAGAAAATAGTGATATATATTGTATCTCATATGCAAAGATATACCATAACAAGTATAATAAGATATAAGTAAATACAATTAAAAATATTACAAAAATTCAAAAATTATCAACTGATACATTATTGTTAATAATTATATTAATTTTTTATTTATAATATTTAATAATAATAATAATAATAATAATTTTAATTTTAATTGAAGAATATATAATAATCTTAAAAATCTGATAGGAAAATCTCACCAAAAAAATCAATAAAAATTAAATTATTATTTTTTTTAGCAAAAAGACCAAGTAATTATTTTTTTTTAAATAGAGAATTAGTATTTTTTAGCAAGAAATTAAAGTTGTTATCTTTTTTTTTTTTGATAGAAGAATTATTATTTATTTTGTAAAAAAATAAAAAATTATTATTATTATTTTTTGCCAAAAGAATCAAAATTAATATTGTTTTTATTTTTTTAGCAGGAAATCTAAAAATTATTATTATTATTATTATTATTTTGACAAAATAAACAAAAATTATTATTATTTTTATTATTTTTTAACAAAAGAGTCATTAAATTTTTTGATAGGAGTGTCAAAAAGAATTATATAAATAAAAAATTATTATTTAGTTTAAATCAAATTTAATTTTCATTTTAACATAATACAATTATTATTATTATTATTATTATTATTTTTTAAACCACAACTGGTATTAGATGCGAGCACTTTTATTAAGAATTAACTTAATATCGTAGATAATGAAATTCTGGTCATCACATCAATCATCTCATACAAACTATATATTTTCTATATACATGCAGATTAATGATAACCTATCACTGTTTTCTCGAGTTGGACCCATTAATCACTCTGTAAGTGGGTAGATCCAGCTAGGGGCCAGACGATTAATACACAATTATCAACAGTGAATAGGGATCTCAATTTTTATCTAAATCTGAATAATCTGTGGATTTGATCTGAACAAATCAGATCAGATTTAAAATTTTTTGATTTGTTTGTATACGAATCGAATATGGATTTCAAGTTTTAAAACCTAGCTAGGTTAAATAAAAATTAGCAGTTTAAATGTAGCTATTTAAGATAATTAAAAAAAAATCTCATAATTTTTTTTTTATATTCCTTTAATACCTTTACATATTTATTTAAAATTTTATGATATTTTTTATGATATTCTTCTCCTTACAACATTACTGGTATTATTTATATCAAAATAAAATGTAATACAACAGTTCTTTCGATGATTCCAATGAAATAAACAATGAAAGTTTCAGTTTAGATAACTATGAATTGAGCGATACTAGTAATATTGCAACAAGTAGTTTTTTGAAGATATTATCGAGCAATAAAATAAATTATAGAAGTAAAATGTAGAACCATTTTACAAAGGATTCCAATTTCAATGAAAGTAAAAAAGTTTCCTGCAATTATTGCAGCACCAAATATACCT